ATGCCATCTAAAAACTAAAAGAATTATCACTTGATGTTGACTCAAATAGACCTAATCAACTATTGCGTTGCTATATAAACGTTCAATTCAAACCACCGGGGAGTGAGTTTCATTGTTCGTTGTATTTGTACTTCACAGTAGAATTCTTAGAAACAAAAATTATTATCCCCACAGGAGAAGAATTGGTACATGGCAACGCGTTAGTCGATTAGGTCTATTCGAATGCGAAGGTTTCTTTTAATATATGTAGTTATATATTTAATATATGTAGTTTCTTGTAATATATGTAGGAATGGAAATTACCCCAGAAAAAAGAAAGTCATTTTACATTTTAGGACAACTGATATAGTATTTGTGACCTTTATGGTTGCAATTAAACAAATAATTAACATTATTACCCCTTTTTGTTAGAAGCCAGACAAATACACTGTCTCTCATCATATATTTAAGAAATATAAAACGGCGCGCGTGTCTCTGTCCTTTGATATAAACACGGTGGGAGTTCGAAAAACACGAGAGAAGCAAGCTTAGGAACACGAGCGTAGCGAGTGTTTCTCTTGCTTCTCGAGTGTTTTTCAACTCCCACCGTGTTTATATCAGAAGACACAGACACAAGCGGCCGTTTTATATTTCTTTTATAAAATTTTTCGAGCGAATAGAAAATTTTGCCGGTAAGCCGTGTCTCTGTCCTCTGATATAAACACGGTCGTCAGCCAATCAGAGCGCGCGTTATATATCAAAAAGTTTATAAAATACAATACAATACATGGACACGATTATGCATCGTAAAAAGTACTGATAACAGGTGGCTTTGGTAGTTGGATTGGTTTAAACCTTCAATATGGGTCGATGATGAGAAATTAAAACTACATACGAAATCTAATAATCTAATAATGCTATTTATATAGCGCTTATCCAATTCTGTTCTAAGCGCTTTAAAACTAAATGACAACTACAAAACACATGAGAGTCTTGGTAGACTGTGAGCTTGAGTTGGCGCCTCTGGCTGTCGCTGCACAGTCCGTCCCAAGATCTCAAACTAAAAAAACACAACAACCAGATTACATCACAATAAACAAGTCAAATGTTTTTTGCATGATGGCCGGTGGCTAAACCAAGCTCATTCGCGCTTTGACAGGTCTTGTATTTAGTCCTGCTGGGTGTCATGCCACCCTCCTCACCAGTGTAGACTGGTGGGGGTGCCGGTTTAGACGCCGACGACCCGTCCATGAGGCAGGTTGTACTGGGTTACAATGTTACCAGTAGCAGACTACATGTCTGACCTGACACGAGACCCTTACTGGTGATTTTGGTACTGAATGCAATTTAGAAGCTTCCAGAATGTATGTGTCTTAATATAAAGGTAGGTGTGACTTGATAGACTTTAAAAAAATGCTGCTGGAAAACACTTGCTGTGTAATTTAAGCAACTAGACGCTCTTGGAGCGTGAAGTCGGACTAGCTATTTTTGAATGTATATCATGGCGTAGAATATTATATTTTTTACTTCTAATACATAGTGAAAGCAAGAATTCGTGACCGTTTATTCACAGCCAATTCTTCGTTTTCATGTGACGTCATCGTAAAACCAAAACCAGAAATAAACATCTTATAATAATAATTTCAAAATATGTTTTAGAAACTATTGAGATGACTAACACGGAACTAACGTTTGAAGTCATTTCGTTATTTTGTGCTCAAGTTATAAGGGCCCAAAGTCTGTCACGCAAGACTGTCACGCGTTTCTTATTAGCGACGAAACTCAAAACTAATTCACCTAAGATRGAMKATTTTACCTTAGGCAWGTTCAGAGTATTTATTTTTAGTATATTTCAGTAAAAGATATTGAAATATGTCGAAAAATCCATCATAAGGGAAGGTACGTTTATTATCGGGGGGGAGGGCTGGAGCCTCAGAGGGGAGGGTCATTAGTCAAATTTATAAGCTTAAGGGGAGGGCCACATATTTCATTTGAAGCTAATCAAGGGGAGGGTCATCCTTTTAAGTAGCACCCTACAATTGTAGCAATTAGAACTCATTTTAATTTGATCATATTTTTGTAATTTTATTTTACGTATGAAACAGTTATCTCAACCTCGATAATATAAAATTGGAATTGCAATATTTCCTGTGTATTTGGAAAATTTATCTACAAGTTTACTAGTCACAAACCAATCTGAGTTAGTTAAATGTCAATTTGAGTCCACGAGACAAAGTTGTCTCGAAGGATTCTGGTTCTTTTGCGTCCATAACGTGAGGAAGTAACATCAGGTGGGGCGTCCGTTACTTCATTAAAGGAACTGCCCTCTGAGGAGTCACTTGACTCACTCAGAGTAGAACTTTCAGAGCCAATTCTTTGATGAATGAAGTCACTCTCTGAGTCTGATACGGTTGGAGCCGTGGCTCGGTGAGCCTCAGTGTCCTGTACAATGGAGGCGAGGATGTTACTGCCCATGTGCGCTTTTATTATAGCAATTTTTTGCTTTTTGACTCCTTTGAATGTCATCTTGTGATGATTCAAATACAAATTAAGTTCGCTTACTTTAAGCGTTGCTAAACTGTCAGAGTTGTAAAGATAAGTCCAGTCAATGTCGTTGTATTCCTGCTGTTCTCGTTGTATTCTTTGCCGGGCAGTTTCTGCTGTCCTTTTTTCTTTCCGAATC